AACTACCTTTTATAAGTACCATACTTCACACAATGTGTTTTGTAAACACCACAATAACTACCTTTTATAAGCACCATACTTCACACAATTGTTTTGTAAACACCGCAATAACTACCTTTTATAAGCAGCATACTTCACACAATGTGTTTTGTAAACACCACAATAACTACCTTTTATAAGCACCATACTTCACACAATGTGTTTTGTAAACACCGCAATAACTACCTTTTATAAGCACCATACTTCACACAATGTGTTTTGTAAACACCGCAATAACTACCTTTTATAAGCACCATACTTCACACAATGTGTTTTGTAAACACCACAATAACTACCTTTTATAAGCACCATACTTCACACAATGTGTTTTGTAAACACCACAATAACTACCTTTTATAAGCACCATACTTCACACAATGTGTTTTGTAAACATCACATTTAGTTCAAAAGAATTTAGTAAACACTACACTTTACACAAAGTTTTTTGGATGTTATATTTTTCCTGCAAAATTATATCACCAGTTCCGTATGGTAAATGGACACAGCTAATTAACAAGACAATTTTCAATCACTTTTAGCATGCTAGCATCTGTGACACTTTACACAGGTGTGCAGATGTACATGTTGTACTGATATAAAACGGCTTAAAACCCCTTTGGTATCAGCAAAGCTGAAACCATTATGTAATATCTATATTGGTGTAAAAAGTAGAAATTAACACAAAACACAGTCCCTCTATCATAGATAGAGGGACTGTGCACAAAATAAGACTTAAACGCCATCATTCAAAATTGATTCACAACAAATGATTTACTAAACATGACCAACATAAATTTACTGACAACACATTGAACAATAGATGTGCAATATGATAGTCAGAGAATACTCATGCAATTTTAGTTGTTCTAGAGACATGTATAAAGTTGTCAAATTTTACTGTTTGGTACAAAATTTCACAATGATACATGTATATGGCACACATAGATGAATGAGCAAACAAGTGGAAATGAACCAGCTGCCAGTGCTTACACTTTTAGAGTGAAAATCTGGGATGGTAATCATGGAAACCAACTGTTATTTTCTTTAATCTGTCCTTTGACCAGACAGTTTGTGCTTTGCTTCACAATAAAACTATTGCAGAAAAGATCTGACTTTAAATGGACATTTAACCAATTATAATTCATACTGCCTAAAAGCAGATGCCCAAAAGCAGGTGAAGGTGTTGTTTTACATTTGCATTATAAATGAGTAAAATTTAGCAGATTTTTAGTATAGGTATTTGATAACTGCTTTCAGTACTATTTACCACAGCCAGCTATTTACCAGATTAAATAATTTAATATACTGTAAAATACTTTATTTTAGCTGGATTTAATTTTCACTGAATATACTTTTTTGGTGTTTTGTATGGAATTTATTTTCACTAATTTTTTGATAAGTTGTATGTAAAATATAGGAAAAAGGTATATTCGCTGGATTTTATTTTTACTAAATCATTCCTTCAGCAAAAACGGCAACAATTAATTCCAAGCGAAAATACAGTATTCCACAGTATATTAAATTATGCATTCTTTGTGAAGAGAAAATTCTAGTAGTTAATCCAGTATTTTGAAGGGGAAATGAAATGTATTGATTTGGAATCTCTGATCCATGTAAAACATTCCTATCTAACTTAACTGTCAAGGATACGAGAATCTATCATTCCAAGTGGCCCTAGCCACATTACCAAGCGTGATAACTCCTTCAACAGTTTCTAACAGCTTACCCCAGGTTTCATCAAAATTCACAACTCGTGGTTTCAAGGACATATCTTTAATCTACAAGATAATATAAAAAGTATGTCAGTAATAAATTTTTGTGAATTATATGTGGATCTTTTTACTTTATACACTCGTAGTCAACAAAGCCATGTTATAAACTATTTACAAACCAAAATATTTATATTGTCTCATTAGGATTTGAATGAAAAAAGCTGTGTTTGTAAATACAAGTATATTTGTAAATAAAAACATGGGTTTATTGACTCCAGACCTTTTAATGACCGCTATTTTCAAATTTTTATACCAAGAAAGTAATGACACATTATTTTTACAGCGTTAACAAAGAATATTTTATTTTATTCTAATCTACAGGATATTCTGTTGTGACCATAAACCTTTAAGCCTCCTCCCCCCACCTTTTGTACATTATTTCCAGATTCATTGGCTGTATAAATCATTTAGTGGCCCATTACCCATGAGTCTTTGTAGAATCTCATCAATAAGTGGCTGATTTATTGCCATGAACATAAAGATATTAAACTACACTGATTTGTTTGCCGAAATAAATATAAAAAAATGCAATTACAAGTACCATTATTGTTTGGCGCATAACGTTAAATTACGAAAGCGAGGCAGTGTCAAAAGCAAGGTTAAAGGTTAACTGACCGCAGCAGAGTTCTATATGGGCGGTATGCATCCTCTAAGACTTGTTATTGATCAAGTTGTTTTCAATCACCATTTGAAATTTATAAATATTTTATTTCAAACAAATTCTCGCCTTTATGAAACCTGATATATTAATAGAGTTTTAAATTTAAATATTGATTTTCCAGCAGAAAGTCAGTATTTGGTATTCTTCGGATATACTGACAAGAGCTAGAGAATAGGAGCACATTAAATTCACAGTGGTAGTAGAGCTACATGTAGGCATTAATTAATTAACACAGGTAGTTTATAATCATTAATTACAATAAGGCAAAGAAAAAGTGAAAAAGTATTAGGCCTGACCCTTGGTTACAGAAATATTTAAGAGCAACACATACAAAAAGTAAATCATAAAGGTGATACAATGTATGCCATAAATTGACTGAACTCAGGTCAAGCAAGTATACTACTTGACTTACTGGTCTGGTATGGTAAATCACTAAGTTTAAATTCATATATATTCCAAGTCACAGCAATGTCACTGAGGTAGGATAAATCAAAGACACTAGAGAACTCAAAAGAGTGAGAGCTAATTAAATTTGAAAGTCAAATGTATATGTCGCCATTACAAAATCTTAATACTTTTCAAATACCAAGGTGATATAGATGTTGGGAAAGACAATGCTGGTACACATTGTAAAACTTGTTAATACAAATATTTATAAAAATGCCCCTAACATATAATGAAATTGCCTAAATTATCCTCATGAGAACAGTTTAGAACAAATATTGCTATTACCGGTATGTCAAGGCGTTTAGACGAAAACACTGAGATTGAGATTATTCGTCTCTTGCAAATGATCTACGACAAAAGAAGTTGCACTAGTGAGGGCAACGGTTCAAGGGATTGTGCGGCATTTCTGTTGCATCATTTGAATACGTTCTGAGAGAATTAGTGGCCATCGTTGACTGAATGTTACACAAGAAAGTTTATAGAATTTTTTCTGAGATCTGAAGGATATTTGAAACTGGTATATGGTGATGATATGATGGTGAAACTAAGTAGACAATTCCAGGGAAATTTTGACTGGACGATTAGTATTCTGGGAAACTGGCAATAGGACCAGCGGCCATTATGCGAAACTGAACGCTAATACTATTAATATAAATCCATTGACAACATCTCAACAAACTACCAACCAAAGGAGTTTACATTTATCATTTCTTGTTAATATTCATTCCCAGTTTTACGCAGCAATGATTTTTGTGCCTACAAAGAAATGGAATAGTCCAACTACCCCTTGTTCCTCGTGGCCACACATCAAAGGCATACTGCGTCTGGTGTTTTGATTAATTGTCACGTGAGCGGGTATGTAACTTTATTGCGTCTACAACGGTCATTACCTACCAGGTGCAGGAGTTAGATGTATGTAAATATCTTGCGTCCCCTTTAATGACTGATTGATGCTTGCATACCATGAACAATTTCTTGATGAATGATCAAGGACTTACATGGATCAGAAGAGGATATGCAAGTTGTAATACATGCGATGAAGATCTTACAAGAACCAAAGAAAAGTTGCTCGAATTGCATGATGATCATAAACTTGCATGACAAATATAGCAATCGTGCAAGTCTGTGAAAGATCTGTTACTGGTGTTCCTCACAGACTGTTTTGCTAAATGACACGAACCAGTAACCAAAAGTATTAATATATACCAAATTTATGAAAATCATATATAATGAGTGAAAATAATGTAAATTCCCGGAGAGGTGTACTATAGCCTCTCACGGTCACGTGATTAAGGGATTTCCCCAGTATTACATCTCAATTGTCATGGAAGGCTATGGGTGAAATTTAAATGACCCAGGATCACATTATCCCAACATCGCATGGATACCAAATCAGAAGACAATGACTAAAGATACAATGACATCTTCCAAATTGTAATACCTAATTCTTCTTACTTCCAAATCTAATTGGATGGGATGGGTCAGGTCAGGTCAAGAACGCGATGACTTCCACTCCTACGCGGATCCAAATTGATCTTGGGCGTAATCTGAGTGTTGGTCGTCATGGACGTATAGTGAGTCTGTTTATGCCTATTCGTACATGATTGACATTTGTTGTGTATCTTACCTATTCTTGTGACCTGGTTAAATCCTAAAATTTCACCGGCAGTGTGGTTTACCTCCAAGTTCTCTCAGCACTCTGTGGCGTCCGCCATCTTGGAATCCCGCGAAGTCACGCGACTAGTCTATTCTCGGTCACTGCGAGATCGACCCTTAACCTTCGTGGCAATCGTGGGATCGGCTGATTCATTGAAACAACACGTTGCTGTGGCTCTTCGTTTTCTTGTTCTGTACACCAGGTCTTTCTAACAGCACACAACATGCCGTCGGTAAGTCAAGCAAGTCAATAATAAGTTTGCATTCTACACGCGGACTAACTTATTTCAGACAAATCATAAATTTGAAGATCGACACCAAAATTATAATTTTAATTCGGTGGCTTTCACGTCGGCTTGCATAGCTTTGCCAGTACAGTGGCGCTTCAATGCGTATCTATTTGTTTCGATGTAGTAGTCCTTCTTTGATGTCGATATAACATCACGTTTACTTACACAACAGACACATCAACATAAACATATTAACGATAAAAACATTCTACAGGTTAGCGAAACTAAAATGAAACGTACAACAATAAAATAAGGGGCGTGTCTTTTTTCATATTACATAACAGATAATTACGTCGAATAATATAGTGTTCAGGTGGGCGTGGAATTGACACGAGTAACATATCCCCCGCATTGCACGATTTCCCTGACCTCCCTGACCTCCATCATCAGGAGGTCGCATCGCCCCCAAAGTCCAATGTCCCCAGGATACAGGTGACAACGAAACAAAGCATCATTTGTAGCCTTTTGGACTTTGGATGTTGGGCCATCTTATTATCACTCTTGCATGGGGCATGGAAGGTACTGACTAGTATTGTAATGTTAGTATCTTCCATGCATGGGGTGAGAAAATAATCTTGCAAGAGTTGAGTTAGGAAACTCTAATGATGTGGTAATAGCAAGAGAATCAAAACTAATTTGCTGTAATTATTAATTGATAATTTCGTAAACACGAAGCAATTTTTTCTTTAGTTTGTGATGTTTTGAAAATATAGTTATTGTAGCTTTGAATATACCGGTAATTGCTTTTTCTGCAGTTTCAGTTTTTGTTGACTGTTTTTATTGTCGCTATGCTGTGTTGACTGTAACCAAAATTAAACTTTATCATACTGAGACTACCCAACTCTGCTTTATTTATCATACTGAGACTACCCAACTCTGCTTTATTTATCATACTGAGACTACCCAACTCTGCTTTATTTATCATACTGAAACTACCAAACTCTGCTTTGATTACAGTGTATGTTAACACATACATTATTCCGGAAAACAGGATCTACATTTTCTATGTTGTAAATTCAATGAAAACTAATGTCAAAAAAATAATATAAAATGTTAGCAGATTTCACTTTGTTAATTTATTCTGCTATGAAAATAAAAAAATCTGAATGTTTTAAGTACCCAATTTTCAGGGAAAGTTTTTCAAATAAATATTATATTTATTTTGACAAAATAAAAATCTTCTAATATTTTCTTGCATTTCCTGTATAAGCAGCCAGGGAAAAAAAATCAAAACAATAGAGGGCGCTATTTTCAGAAATTCAACCTGATGGAAATATAACATGGCCTGCTAATATGCCACATTTGACATGGTCAGTTGGTGATGTCATAGTCTCAAATTATGTGCAAGGACCAATCAAATTCTGATAAAAGGTGTGATATCAAAGGGTTATATACAAGATATTGTGATATACATAACTGTTGTAAGTTACCCTATACTTGACTAATGCTATAAATTTGGTGTAATATATTTCATTGCAGGATGCTTTCAATAAAGCTGCAGAGGATGTGAAGAATCTGAAAACCCGGCCCTCTGATGCCGAAATGTTGAAACTGTATGCATTGTTCAAACAAACATCAGTCGGTGATTGTAACACAGGTATATTATTTCATTTCATTAACTATTCAATACAAATAAAATTATGAGGGCGCTATTACCACTGTTAACTGAATATTTGTGTTGTGGTTGCCAGTCACACATTTGTTTTGAACCATGTACCAAAACATGCTTACTGGTATTTGTGCAACTGTTTTCAAATTAAAAAATCTACTGCCTTTTTGTATTCATTGTATTATTAGATCGCCCAGGTATGCTTGATTTTAAAGGCAAGGCAAAGTGGGATGCTTGGAATGAAAAGAAAGGTAAGAAACTTGTAGTGCAGTAACTGTTCTTACAGCTACGGTATTATAAATAATTAAGCTGAGTTGAGGAGTCTAAGTAAGATAATTAAACCTGAGTTTGGAGTCACAGTATGATTATTAAAGCTCAGTTGGGGAGTCACAGATTTCTAATTAAAGCCGAGTCAATGATTATTAGAGCTGAGTTGAGGCTCAGTTCTACAAGAACCAATCGTAACATTTCAATGGAACATGATTGTTGATTGGTTTTGGGTTAATATTAATTACCTAATTTGCATAGTAAATTGTCAACTTTTCCACCAATATCGCAAGAATTAATTAGATTTACATGAAACTTAGTACATAGAAGCTCTCAAAAAACACGAAAACTTGGTTAAAAATTGTGCATATCAATTATCTATTTTTCATAATTTGGCCAATTTTTAGCTTTTCCTTTGATATCACAAGAACCAGTTATTGCAATTCAATAAAAACTTTGTACATAGATGCCTCAGGACATTACTAAATGTTTAGGGTTAAAAAACATGAATACTGATAAATTACTTTGCATTATAACAATTATTGGTATCTGAAAATATCAAATTTATTTTGTTATTTGATTTTACATTTTGCATCTCAAATAGCAGAAAAATATTAGTCACTTGGTTTCTTGTTTAAAAGGCTGATCTTAAATTTTGAATTTATTTTTAATATTCCCTAATAACTGTCAGGATTTGTAAGCTTTCTTTGATCTCTATTCTAGGTACAAGTCAAGCTGATGCAGAAGCAAAGTACATAGAATTGGTAGAAGAATTAAAAGGAAAATATGGCATGGCATAGACACTAATAGTATATAGTACCGGTAACATGCATAAACATGTTACTTTTATTGTGTATTTTTGTTGTTTTAATTGTACTTTTAATTTAGTTTAAATCAACATCATGGGTTGAATATTATTATTTCCGTAACTTCTAAAAATATCGCTCATGTTAGTGCATTTATTTTATTTGCTCATGGATACAAAATGTATTATCTTTCATGTTTCATATCTGAGGATGCAAATCATTTTACGTTTGAAGATCAGATCCGGGATAAGTGAAATCCCATAAAACACACTTTCATGTGAAAGCTCACAATTCAATTCCATGGAAGTAAAAGGACATATTTTGAATCTTGTCTAGGGTTTTTCTAGAAAAAAGAGGAAGCACTGAAATTCAGCGGCACTACCAAGTGGAGGAGATAGGGTTCTCCCTACCAGGGAGAGTTTTTAATAATTCTAAGTTAAAATGGAGCATCCTATGGCTTCCTTTGGGCCAAAATTACTACCAGACAGGTCACAGTTGAAGACAGTGGCCACATGTGATCCCTGGTCAATCAGAATTTTATTGTTGCCAGAGGATCTGCTCCCCAGGGTAAGGGAGCGCATGGCCATGGCATGAGGGCGCTGTTCACTTGTAGCATCCAGTGTATGAAGTGCTCAGAAATGTACATTTTTTTGTCAGCGAATGTTTTAGTGTTGCAATAATGGGATTTTTGGTTTATTGACATTGTGCTTGTTGAAATGATTTACACTGAATTGATGGTGCTAAGAATGATAGTCAAATCATGTTGTTAATAATTTCATTCTTTGACTATAAAATAGTAAAGCATGACGGTTTGACGTGTGCAGCCTTGGCTCCTGGGATGCATTTGGAAAATATCATTATTGTTGAGATTTGGCGAAGAACGTTTTTTTTGTTATAATACTAATTTTGATATTATTTTTGACACGTTTCAAGATATTAGTTTTGTCATTTGACATGTTCAGTGTACACCAGCACTACACAATACAGTTGTGGCGGAGTCATAACATCATCACTACAAATAGATCAATCTAACAGTTTAAAATGTTGTTTTCAAGCATTACCCGACTCCAAACTGCAGCATCTTATTCTGATTAAGCATTGTAATTCAAATTTTATTAGTCAAGTGAGATGGACCACAGTTCATTAAATTAAGCAGTTGTTTTATAATAGCAAGACTTTATGTACTCAAATGATCCTGTACGTTTAATAAATATGTAAAATACAAGATTTACCCATGATTCAAATGCCCATGGTGCGATGACTGTTTTGTAATTAAAGAAAAAATCAAGTGAGATTTTGCAAAATAAAGATTCTTGTATGCACCTTATTTAGGTTGTGTTGCCAGTAATTTGTTCTTTAATCTAGTTATAAAACCCCAGTACACTTGTTGCAATCTGAGATTCATAGAACACTTTCCTGTAAGTAGCAAGACTGGGGTGCAAATTACTCCGGCTTTGTCATGCTGGAAATCCACAAACATGTTTGTTTGCTGATAGTCGATAGAAGGGAATTTTATATTTGTGACGTTGATTGGTACACCCATTAGCACAATGTCGTATGCGCAAATTTACTTTACACCTCAAAACTATGTATCCTTGATGTCACGCGCAACGTAATATTACCGTAATTGGTATAGTACAGGTGTGATGGTTCAAAATGGCAACAGTAACAGAAAGACTTCCCTGGCGGCGATGATAAAATACGAACACAGAGCCAACAGATGAGGTTTCAACTGGTACTGGTATTATTATACTCTGCAAACATCAAGTACAATAACGCGGTAAAACTCCACTACTCCAATAACTAGATACACGAACTCCAATACAATTCAACGAGATCTCCGATCTGAACTCAGTGCTGAACAACTCCCCTATATATACCCCCACTGTCTATAAATAAACCATTACATCAGCATACATAATGAGTCTGAAACTTACTACAAATTTCTAGAATGTTCCATTACCTTCTATTGCCTCCTACAGTGTTCTATTACCTATTCAACCAGTTCCTAAAAATCTAGAATATTCTACCCAGACTCAGTACGTTTCTAGAACATTCTCAGTG